ACAGACGGCGCCAATTTGTTATACCATAAATTCTTGAACCGCTGGACCGCTCCTCTCCGAACCGGGTTGCGTCTCCTCGATCGCCGGTACCTGCAAAACACGCCGGGGGTGGTCCCGGCGCGAACACTCCGATGCTCAAGTCAGTGGCGTTCCAAAGAGAAAACGGCAGAGTAACGAGACAACAAGTATGTGTGTGTTGTGTAAATGAAATAACCTGTCCCCTTTTATAGACGAAGTCATCTAGAGGTTGAAGAGTTCTTATCATACCATGAGTTTTCCCCTCAGATTAGGTCAAAGTCCTAAGAGTCCTTGAGGTTGCGAACCTCTCCATGATTTGAGCACGATACCCCCTCTGGGCTCTGGTCCCCTCAGTGGAACGTCCAGCTACCTAGGTGCCAAGGTGCCCCGCCTAGCTCACGTTGAGCTAGCCTCCGCCTACCACCCATGTGCTCCAAAGGTACCATGGGCTACGCCTACCAGAGCCTCCGCCTACCACCCATGTACAAGGGTACCATGGGCTACGCCTACCAGAGCCTCCGCCTACCACCCATGTACAAGGGTACCATGGGCTACGCCTACCAGAGCCTTCACCTACCACCCATGTACAAGGGTACCTTGGGCTACGCCTACCAAATTGAACCACCCGACTGAGTACGACTGAAACTCGGATCACAACAGGTCCTTCATGAACCATTTCTTACGACCACATCAAATACCTATTGGACATACTGCACAATAATGTTGTACTAAATGCACATTAATGATTGTAGAAATGCATATCATCATACACATTATTAAAAATTTTCTAAAAATTGAAATGCACATAAAATATCCGTTCGACATAGTGCAAAATAATATTAGACTAAATGCACATTAATGTATGTGCGAATGCACATTATCGTAACATTATATTGAATGACCACTCGGGAAAAATCAAAAGTACATCGCTACGTGGTTATACATTTTTATTATGCATTTTATTTGTCTATTGGTGCATTCTATAATGCGGGGATTTTTTTTTTTTTTTGGTCGGTGGATTTTAAGAATTCAGTTATTCCGGTTTAAAGTATTTTTTTTTTAAATATATTTTATATAAAATAATTAAAAAAATATTAAGATACTACAACTTTATAAATATAAATAACAATTTAATTCGGTTCTTTGGATTAAATTGAATCTAACAAAATTAATCTGTCATTTATGTTCGATTTTTATTTTGGTCTAGAACCAAAATTCGGTCGGTTCTACAACTTTATAAATATAATTAATAATTTAATTTAGTATTTAGGTTAAGTTGGATAACCAACCGAATTTATCATTTCTGTTCGGTTCTTATTCTGGTCTGGAATAAAAAATCATTCGGTTCCATTTTTTTCGAAAGTTCAACTGATTATTGTAGTATGAACGTTTTGATTCATTGGTTCGATCGAACTACTCGATAATAACACCAAGCGAGGTGATATTTTGGTAAATTTTCGAATTTCTTAAATGTGTAAGTGGTTATAATTTTGTAATTACGTATAAATATGATTGGTTTTTTAATGTGCATTTCCTTAGTCATTATTGTGCATTTTATGTATCACTAATGTGCATTAGTTGAATTTCATTAAATCATAGATTTGCCTCAAGAACTAAATTAGAATATATATTAAAAGTTCTGAAATTGCAAATAAGCCCCCATGACTTATCAACTTCTCAAGCAACGACCCACCAACAAAAAAAAAAATTCGTCCGGCTACAGATCTCTCGGCGGGACATTGCGGCGGAGTCGACGACGTTAGTGTGGCGGTGATGTTTCTCCTGGTGGTTGGTTATCGGAATACTTCGAGAGTGATGTTGGAGATTGGCGATTTGAGGGACTTATCCACACCTTTGTAAGTAGATTGCTTTTAATGGAATGCATATCTTGTCGTCGACTCACGATCTCCACAATCACGACGTCGGAGGACAAACGACGGGCGGGAGAAGTGGGCGACTGACTGTATATATTTGAAATAAAGATCTAGTTAGAGGTTGAGAGCAACATGCGAGAGAAATTGACTACGACGACAGAGAAGGAAGGCTATGGTGGCGGGCGACGGGGTTGGTGGTTGTGACAGGCGGGCCGACGTGCGTACGGGAGTGTGTGTGTGTGTGTGTGTGTGTGTGTGTGT